GTGTCTGTCTTGCATTTGGAAATCAAAGCAGTTCTTCCAGAAATCTGTGTCCTTCTGGCATATTTACATAAAACACTGAACATCCCATCAGGTCAGAAATAGAACATACAGCCAGCTACACTTGCTATTAATATTACTGGCTTTTCTACTTTAGCGGCCTGGAAATTTGGCACTGTCCCAAAAACCATAAGTGCGTGTATGCGTGTTTGGGAAAATCAGTAGACTTGTGGAACTGATATTATCTGCTCCCCTAGAAAGGAACACCCAGAAAAGGGAAGTGGACCTATTTGCTACTGTAGATTGATTGAAAAGGACAGGCTTTCCATAGCAGGCAAGCACAGATTATTCCAAGATGCTCAGCTTACAGCAGCACCTCACTAATTTGCACTAATGGACAGCAGACACAATATGATGTACTGACCTTTTTAAAAGATTCCCTGATTCACTCATTTGAAAGAGCAACAGTTATACTTTGTTCCTGGAGCTGGCCAGTTTGGTTTTGTTTAACTGATGCTACTACTGCATGCTTGTACTGTAGCATTTTTGTAAAAATGACATTTTGGTACAATGAGACACCACTACAGCATCTGCTATTGAATCTTTGCTGAGCAGTGGGTAAAGACCACATGTTACACTTCCTGGAGACACAGCAAAGACAATGTAGTTCTGGGACGGTGGGGATGAAAGGACCTTTAAATCAACTTTGCATCCTTCCTGGGTTGTGTCAGTTGCCAGTGCAGCTCCTAGCCAGGAGCGGCTGTACCTGATCCAGTTCTTTTTTCCAGGGGCTGCCTATAAGTTGTTCCGTGACAGATGAGAAACCACATAGTGATGTATGTAATGGGCGTTCCCCACCTCTTCTTCATGCTCCTGATATGCCCCCTTTGAGTTCCACTCTCAAACCACGGCATGGTGTCAGCATATAAAGGGGGAAAGTCTCTCCACCTGGTGGCAGAACTATTTTCTATCCTGATACACTGGCACTAAGGTAGAAATAAAAGACAGGACTATGCAGCACTTAAAGACTAACAAGATGGTTTATTAGGTGATGAACTTTCATGGGCCATCACCTAATAAACCATCTTGTTAGTCTTTAAGTGCTGCATAGTCCTGTCTTTTGCATCTCTGTCACTAAGGCACTAAGGTAGGCAGGGGCCATAGCAAAAAACAGAATTGTGCAGGTTAATGGAGTGTGGAATAGCAAGGGTCTAGTTTTGTAAATATAAAGCATAGATTATACCTAAAGCAACTATGGATTGTGATAGATACAAATTCCATTAAACTGCCCCAATAAAGTAAAAACACTTTAAACATTGGCTTCATCTGCATGGAACCACTGACCTGTTACTAAGTGTAGAAGTCAACAATCACTTCAGCTGCAGTGGTACTGAGCACAGTTAAGCTGCAAGTGTAGATAAAGGCAAACAATAGTCAACAATATCTCAGCTAATGGTTAGCTGAATAAAGATTGTCCTCTTTCCTCACAGCTTAACTGTCCTCAATATTGGGTCAATTGTGCAAGGCATGGGATAACAGTACTGCCGACCCCAAGGAGTTCAAAAAATCAGGAGATAGACCCCACAATAATACAACTTTAAAAATATTAAATACATGATTCTGTTTATTTGCCCTCTTGTTTTTGAGTTTTTAAAGTTCACAAATTTCAGGCTTTTCTCTTGCAACTAAGAGAGCTCACAACTTTAAAAAAAAAAAAAAAAAAAGCTGACCATCTCATGCAATCACCTTGCTTGAGTCTGGGGCTTTCAAAGAAACAGCAAATAGCATGAGACTTGTGATAAAATGCAAAGAGTTGGTAATGCTGATTTGTGTTGCCAACCCCAAGTGTTAAAAAACATGAGTTAGTTCCCCTCCCCCTCCCAGTCATGGGATTGGCTTAAAGATTATGTTTTCTTTTGTTTTAATTTGGGGATGTTCTTTTTCTTTGCCTTCTGTGTTTTGAGTCCTCAGGGTTCATGCTTTCAAGCTAATCATCCCCACCAGGAGGCCTGGAAGTATACTTCTTAAATGCAAGCTGCGAGTCTCTCAGATATATGACTCCAGGAAGTGGGGCTTTAAGAAAAGCTGAAAATAGCCTGAGGCATCTAATAAAATCATGACAAGGCCACAGTCTCCATTTACTGGAGGATGGACACTCCAATGATTGATTTTCCAGGGTTCGATTTAGCAGGTCTAGTAAAGACCCTCTAAATCGAACACTGAGGTGTCCCCCTCCCTCATTGACTGCAAGGAGTAAGGGAAGTCAGCAAAAGAGTTTCTCCCATCGACCTCCCGCTGTGGAGCTGCCCCAGAAAATTGATGCATAGTATGTTGACTCCAACTATGCAATTCATGTAGCTGGAGTTGTGTATTTTGCATCGATTTTCTTCATCAGGGATACTCTTCAGTAATACTGGAATTACATTTGGAGTAGCAGTAGTCTTTTCTATATTTCTGCTTTAGTGTCTTTCTGTTCAGTCCCAATATAATTTCTGTGGCTTTAGGTATGTAATGTTGGTTTTCTGTGGGGGTTTCCTCTTGGTTTCTTTATTTGGGCAGTGAGTACTTGCCAATATTTAAATATTTTCTAACTGCAGAAAGCAACTGTATTTTAATTGTGCATTTCAGCAGCAAATGTGCTGCTATTAGCCCATCAGCTCGTTGTACATTCAAGCCCTTTTCTATGAAAAGAGGATTCCTTCTCTAAAAAGCATTTCTTGAAGGCTGGCTGAGAAAGGGTTGTACCAACCATTCCATTCTCTGTTCCCATTCTGTAACTGTCTGGCTAGCTCTCCTGTGCAGTTTTAAATTGTTTGTCTCTTGCCCACATTACACAATTAAATCATTATAACTCAAAATCATTTCAATTTGGCCCACTGTGCTGCACATATTAGTAACCAATTGCTGGCAGACACTAATTTTGTGATCACAGTCAATTCTAACAATGCTCCTCAGCAATCTGATCCATCATGCTCAAATGAAATACTTGCTGACATCCTGTTGGGTCCATCTGCTTCTGGCCCAATCCTGCAAAGATGATCAGCAACCTTAAGTCCCATTGCCGTCAATACACGTAGAAGGCACTCAGCACGTCCAAAGATCAGGTCTGTATATTATTAGATTTCAATTTGACACTGGTGCCTAAGTAAACATACTGGTATGTAAATTCTGCATATGAATCCCTCCAGTTCCCATGTGTCTCTCTGGATGTGACAGGGAACATTTCAGACTATGAAGCAAATGCAAACTAGAAAGCAGGAAGGAATGAACCAACAAAACTGAAGCATTAATTATATGTTATAGTCATTGAAACACCACTCCTTATGATCTCTTAATCAATTAATGTTTTAAGTGTCTTGATCAGCTGGAAAATATGAAGCTTGATAGTTCGATTATCAGCCACTTTGAAAGGAGTTGAGCTATTCACAGAATGTTTCTTCTGCCTATAAACCCTGCCAGTCTTTTACGAAGAAGAGTATCACATGGACTCTGCGATTATCAAAGGATGGAACCAGAGCCAATGAAAACCCAAGAATCCTCCTTCTAGGGACATATCCTATAATATGGATTAACTCGCTAATTGTAGGGGAGCTCTGAGTGAACAGATTTGAAACCGGACTGTCTCCTTGAGATACCGGCTGTTCAAAAAGTCCATATTATCTTTGCCAACCTTTACAGACACAGGCCCCAAATTTTGATTGGCTTACAGCCTCTTTCCCCGCTTCCAGTGGTGTAATGTCCCCATAAACCAGGCAGAGAAAAGGGGTTCTCAGTGGACAGTCACAGAGCCAATGAAATGGATCTATATCATCCCTCTTCTTAGCCCTCAACATAGGAGGCGAGTTGGGGGAAGGAATGTCATGGTAAAATGCTCTGTGCTTTGGCTGTGTTTGGCTGACAGAGGGCTCAGAACGGTTCTTGCAGTCAGAGCATAAGATAAAGCAGCTTTGAGGCTGCTGTAATTTATGCCAGGGGATTGGCCAAAAATATGGGAGCTCATGCTTAAAACCACCTCTGTGCCCTCCTCCCCATTCCTGTGCCCAAAGGAGGAAAAGAATGAAGAAGCAGGGTCAATCGGCCTAAACTCTCTGGTGCTCACTGCTTCACTGTGCTGGCTGGAAGTCAGGGTGTGGGGCAGCTAAAGTCTCTGAACAGTCATCATGACTCACACTGGAGCTTGTGGCAGATAGTTTCCTTTGCCTGCCTTACAACATCGTCTATAAATAAATTTCAACACAAGATGCAGGAGACTTTAAAGGATTCAACAGATCGGCTGCCAGGAGTGAACAACAGCACATGCCAGGCTTGCAAACTTTCCTTAGACTACAAGCACCAACAGAGTGAAATTTACCAGCCTTGATTCATTTTCACTGCCACTGCCTGGAGCAATGTACAGAGCAAGGAAACTGCAAAACCACTTCCCCATGTATTCAGTCAGCTACCCTGGAACATCCAGCTCCTGCAGCAACTACTGTCATCCCCCATCAAATTCCTCTGCAAAAATCAGTGAGACATGGCAGACTCTGGACTGCTTTACTGAGCTCAAAGCGTTAAAGGCTGCAGCAGCAGAGGACTGAGACTGGTATATTTTTGAGTAGTTTGGAAAGAGAGGGAGACTTGGTCCAGGGTCAAAATAAGGGAGGGGGCCGAAGAAGAAGGAAGAAAGTGGAAAGATTCCACTATCCTATGTGGGGATGTGGGCGGGGAGAGGGAGAGGTAAGAGAGGCTAGGGCCAGGGGTGGTTCCCTCCACAGTGTAGAGGCAGCGAATGAGTAAAAAGCAGAGAGAGAGAGAGGCTATCACAGAAATTGGGCAGGGAGAAATAGAGAAGAGCCTCTTTCTTGCAGCACTAAGGGGAGAGAGGAAGATTCTCCCTCTTATGTAGTGTAGAGGAGAGAAGACAGACCCCACCTCCTGATAGAAAATCAGCCCATCTTTTGTAGGAGCCAGGCGACGAGGAGAGGACAGGAGTCCGCTTCTCACAGTTATGAGGGAGGCAGGGACCAGATGAAAGAAAGAATGAGCAAAGCCCCTCCCTCACAGTCAGAGCTGGTCCTAGACCAAATGGTGCCACAGCTCAATGAGCATCTTCAGCTCCATTTATTAAACTTCTGAAAACCTTATTTTTATTGCATTTCTAGCTCATTGTATGAATTTGACACACAATTTGCACTGCATGATTTATCCCTCTCTCTAGATGATAAATTTGCAGACTAGGATCAGTAATTCTCTATTTATGCATATCAGATATAAGCAAATAATTTTTTTCTAAGCTTATAGAAACTTATTAATTTTAAGAATAACTGAAATGTACAAACATCAAGAAACTGAACTGTGGGTGGGCTATTATGAAATAGAATTCCAGCAGGTGACAGCCGTCGAATGTTCTCGCAGGCCCTTTCATTCAAAAGGTCACTTTTCTTGCCTTTCCCCTCACAAACTGAAGCACTGAATCATACAGATTCAAAGACAGACCCAGGGCACTTTCAAGCAATAAAATAGCAAAAGCAATGTGAGCCTTTCATCAGCCATCCTTTGGTGAAGATATGTTTTAGTGAGCTTCGGCTTTGAAAAATTCACCCTCACAACTGTGACCGGCAGTGTGAACAGAATCCTCCAAGCTCTCCCCACATAAGGAAAAGTGTCCAGCAAGTCTGCCTCATGAATGAATCAGAGAACTTGGAATGAAGAGTGCTTCTCATGTTGCAAAATGTGACAGATGTTGTCCAATTCAACATACAGGGCTATCATGACGTCCAAACATTCCCCATGTGTCCAGTGACGGTTCATGCAATTTGTTATGGAGTATTTTCCTGGCTGCTGGCAACTTACTGTAGCCATATAAAATCCCCCAGGCCTTTTCGTGGAGCTTCATTTGTACATACCTTTCCCTGATGGACACTTGAGCAGGGTCACCAAGCACCTCATGTTTGCCCTGGTAACAAACTGTCCCTTCTTCCAATGAATACGTTTTCCAGTAGACAGGCTCAACTCTAAGTTTTCCATCATTTCTTTAGCAGCAATGAGGGCATTTTCAAATCTATAGTCTCTGTAGATCACAGTGAAATCAACACACTCATCAAAGTGGTAATGATTGTGATGTCCATCAACTGAGTTTGTCGTGCCTTGCCGACAATATTTACTTGGAGCAGGGCATCAGGCCAAACCACAACTGAGACCAGAAGTTTGAAGTCAGTGATCTGGTTGGCCAACCTTTGCACCTTGGGTGGGAATCCGGCCTCAGCTTCGCTGATTCTATCTGCGCACTGTAAACCTGAGTCACTTGGTACCTCGCTGATCTTACGCTGTCAATATGGCCTCCCAGAGAGGGTCACTTAGCAACTTCATGGGGAGATTTCTGTCATTGCCCTGGAGGAGCTGTCATCTGAGAGGCGATGCTGCAAG